TCAGATGAGGTCTCGCTGCCCAGGCGGGTCTCGAACCCGCGGGCTCAGGCAATCCACTCACCTCAGCCTCCCAAAGGTGCGGGATTACAGGCTGAGCCACCGAGCCCGGCCCTAGCCTTTTTTTAAAAAACGAAGTTTAAAACATCTTAAAAGAATGGCGGTATAGGACCCAGAGCTCTTAGATCACATCAATGCTTCCACCAGAACAGAAGATACATAGTGTAGTATTTAAAGGGCCTGACACTGGGACTCAAATACCAAAATGACCATTTCAAAAATGCCAGTCAGTATATGCTCACATGCCTAGGGTCTATAGAAAGGCAAAAATTTAGGGAAAAGTGTAATCAGGTCCGAACACTTTTTAGTATTCTCTTGTTTCTTTGCAGTGACCTGGGAGTGTTTGCTATGTGCTTAGGAATGAGTTTGAGGGGGTGAGTGATGGTGAAGAGTGATTGAGTTCAACCTTGACACAGCCAGGTGTACTCCTGACGTGACAACTCAATTTTTAAAATTTTCCTGTTGCAAGAATTACTTGACTCATCTTAAAAGTTGCCATATTTAAACTGACATTTTTCAATGGAGAGCAAAACCTTGCTACATAAAAACTGAGCAAAATCCTCCTGACTTGTAATATATAAATTCAGGGCCTCAGATGGGGTAAACAGAGACCGCGAGCCCAAACATTTATCTTCCTTATTTGAAGAAACGACTCTTCCTTCCTTCCTGGAATGTGACTTGACATTCTGAATTCCTGTTAAATCTCTGGGTACACCCGGGGACCTCAGAAAGCTCTCCGCAGAGAGAGCAAACATCCTCCTGTACTTGGCAAAAGAAGAAACAGATGCTTGCATGGTTCTGAGGCTCAGCTGCTCAGGCTGCTCTGTGGAAGAGAACCAGGGAACCCAGGGTTGCCAGAAAAAATGTGGATGTGGAGCTGAGAAAAAGAATTTGCACTTGAAAGGCGCCAACAAATCTGTGGGACACATGTGAGCGAGATGAGAGCAGTGCCCAGCCTGGCCTGCCCTGCCGTCAAATGTGGGGAATTGGGGCTGTTTGGCACTTGGGCCACCCGGTGTCCATTCTACCCTCCTGGGGAGGGATCCTTCTCCACAAAGCCCGGGGGCTTCTGGGAGTGGCCATGCCCCAGTACCGGCTGGGCTCTCAAGAGTCCATGCTCTTTTTTGGAGCATCCCATTCACCACTCTTCCCTCTCTGATGACTGGTTCTGGGCTGGACCTACAAGATGTGGTAGGCAGGACTTCGGCGGGGACTTCTGAGAAACACTGGCTTGTGTAGTAGCTACCTGAAGAATTCCTCTCTTCTGGGCAGTGCGGGGAAGAGACCTGAAGCAACCTAGGAAGGGAGGGAGAGCTGAGATAGTCAAGAGAAAGAAGCTGAAACCCTGACCAAATTGGACCCCAGGGGACTTCTCACTCACTGAGCCACTTTGAGGCTGGACTGGGCCGAGATTTATGTGACCTGCAGCCAAGGTTTCCAACCGCCACGTGACATCGACGATGGTTGGGGTGCGTATCCATTTATCCGTGTGTAGCCCAACTGAAAGGACGTTATCTTTTTGGAAAGAGTACAGAGCTTTGTGCCACAGCCTCTTGTCTCTAAAGTTTTCCTGAGAGTATTATGCAGTACATCCAATAACTATGTGGGTACCAATAAAAGACACTAGCCAGGTGTCAAATGCAGCATATTTTAATTTGTTTCAAATAAAGCAATATATGTATATATTTTTTTTTCCAGAAAAACACCAGATGTTAAATTCTACAAAAGCGCATGTGTCCTCAGCAGATCACGTTTGTCTGATTAGGAATTCTTTGTTTTGAACATTAACTCTCTAAAGATGATCAATGGAGACTGACATCACCACTACAACACAGGTTGCTAACTGAGCCTCAGGTCTCCGGCCACATCCCGATTTTCCTAACAGATGAGTAAATACTGCCTGGCTAAAATGCTGCAAAGTCTTGATGAGAGAAAGCGCCAACAGATCAAGCAAAGCCATGAAAGTTACGAAGCAAGCTACAGCTGATTATGAGAATTAGTAAAAATGATTAAGAGAGGATGGCACAACCATACGGGGTTTGTCTATTCTGATTGACTCTCTTTTGGCAGCGAGTTGGATCAGCACCTTGGGCAGGGAACTGAAACGGAGTGAAAAGTGCTCTCTTCCCTCCTAGCTCAGGCCACCAACGTCACAGCTGGGACCGAGAGAACCGTGGCATCTGTGGACACTTCTATTCTCGTGGGGCAGAGGTTGCACTGGGAGACCCGCCCCATGCTGCCCCGGAAGGGCCTGGCCTCCGAGCTGTCAGCTGCGTGCTGTCTTCGCCGGGGCTTCTCAGGGTGCGCCAGGGCCTCCGGGGTCTTCGTCCCCAGCGGGGCCTCTTGGTTTTTGGCGCCGCCCTTGTTTTTGGGCCGGAAGCCATTGTGTGGCTGTCTTCTGTGTTCGTGGCGGGGGTTGTTGCTCTTCCCCAGCGAATCCGCTTCATTCCCGCCGCCCTGGGACTTGGCAGAACCATTGAGCCTGTTGTGATACTGGGGGTTGAATCTCCGTCTTTGGCTAGAAGACCCATTCTGCCAAAAAAATAAAAAAGAAAAGAGGGGAGTCCCAGATGCCAGCAAACCACAGATGACACCGGGAAAAACAACTCTCTCAGCCACGGGTAAGCTTTCTTTCCACCCCAGGAGAATAGGAAAACAAGCAGGTGAGGTCAGAGAGAAGCCTTCATCTTAACAGAAGAGTGCACTGTCTTGCCAGTGAAACTGCAAGAAAATGACTGATGTTGAAAAGGTTACAGAATCCTAACAAAGACAACTCGAAGGCTGGGCTAAATAAAGCCCATAAAGTACACTTGAAATATAACAGAATAAAATCGAACACAGGGCAGGGCAATGATGAGCCTCTACTACGAACATTTCTGAGACATTCTGTATAGACTATGTGTAGGAATTCTAATTGCCCACATGAAGAAAAAGGTAAAAATCTGTAAGTTGTCTTCTCTAAAGCAGATTTTGTAATGTATTTCAGAAGAAATATGATCAGGGTTCAGAAATATCATCTTGGGCAAATTCAGAGATAAAGTGTATCTGGTGGGAGGTGGAAGGAAGGTGTATTTTCACAGAAGTAATTGGGTCCTTTTCTAAGCTTTTTGCACTTCTAAGCAAACACATTTTGAAGCCTCATACTGAAAAATTACTCCTTCAACAAATTAGCAGCCAGGAAAATACACAGAGAAGTAAGTACTAAGGAAGCAAAGGATGGAACCTGTCTGTCCCTACACAAGGGGAAGATTTCTAACTCCTCGAGGTCAGGAATGGCCAATACCGATAGAGTGTCCACAGTGTGTTGGGCACTGAATGAGGGTCTTCACCCTGCATCACTGCCTGTGAAAGCACCATCACCCTTTAAGAGAGTTGCCATCTTCACTTCATTTTATAGATGAGCACAATGAGTTTGAGGGACTTGGCCAGGGTCTACAGTTGGGAAATGTTGGTGCCATTCCCCCTTGACGAACAGTCTCCCAAGACTCCCAAGGAGATCGTTATGTGAACACAGAATCAAACCATATTATTAAAACATGTAACTCCATGAGTTACAAATCTGTAAGGTTTTTTGGGTTTTTTTTTTGAGTTGGAATCTCACTCTGTCGCCCAGGCTGGAGTGCAGTGGCATGCTCATGGCTACTGCAGCATCAACCTGCTGGGCTTCGGCGATCCTTCTGCCTCAGCCTTCCGAGTAGCCGGAACTACAGGCGTTCCCCACCATGCCTGGCTAATTTTTTGATTTATCGTAGAGATGAGATCTTGCCAAGTTGCCCAGGCTGGTCTTTAACCCGTGGGCTCATGCAATCCTCTCACCTCGGCCTCCCAAAGTGCTGGGATTATAGGCATGAGCCACTGCGCCTGGCCTGTAAGGTTCTTCATTGGTGTGCTGTGATGGATGGCATAGGTTTAGGGAGACAGACCTTAGGAACTCAGAGCCCAGGGCAAGAGTGCAAACGCAGTTTGCATACTGTGTGTCTGAAGATCGTTTTTTCCTGCCTCTGGCTCCATCTCACACTGAAGGGCTTTGCTCACAGGAAAGTGGACCTTCCGGCCTGCACACCCGAGCTTCACCCCCAATCCCTCAGGCAATCACCCTTTGGACAGACGGGCATGGAAACTGGCAGTGTGGTCTGCCCTCAAGCGGAGATGTCCTGGGAAGCAGACCCTGTGAGCGGCTTTGGACCGTTTGGGACTAGAATTCCAGGATCTTGAGTACTTGGAACATGTTCCAGAAGGGGGAGTGCAGATTCTAGTGGTCCTTTCTCACTGACTCCTCACTCTGTAGAGAGGGCCACAACTGTGAGAGGGCTGGGAAGGGTTACTCCAATGCTCAGGGCCCAGCCTACGGGCCCTTCTAGCCTGGGTCTAAGTATTCTGACTTGGATATGTAAGTGTATTTCAACTTAAAGGAGCCACCACCTAAAATGCTAGAACAGTGAGCTGAAAAAGTATCTACATAGATAGCGTTTAATCTGGCCTCCTTTGTTTTTAAAGAAATTGAGAAAGAGAAACTCAGACTACGTTTTAGACTTAATTTTAGCATGGTGTTTAATAATGAACAAAGAATAAAGGCAGTGAAGATGTACTTAGACTACAAGTAAATCAGATTTGATTATGATCTTTAACCAATGAGGATATCACTTGTTCCTTGTTAAGGTGCTGTCTTAAAGCTCATGAAGACATTCAGAGCCAGAGAAATGCCTGTCAGTGTCATTAATGGGAATTCAAAAAAAGCAAAAAAAAAAATACAAGACAACAAAACCCAACAAGACATCTGTTAAAAAAAAACAGCATTTAAAAATACCAAAAAAAAAAAAAAAAAGAAAAGAAAAAGAAAAAAAAAGCTGTGTGTGGTGGTTCATGCCTATAATCCCAGCATTTGGGAGGCTGAGGTGGGAGAATTGCTTGAGACCAGCAGTTCAGCATCAGCCTGGGCAACATAGCAAGATCCCATCTCTACAAAACAATTAGCTGGGTGTGGTGGGAGGCTGAGGCAGGGAGAATGCCTGAGCTCAAGAGTTTGAGGCTGCAGCAAGCTATGATGCACTCTAGCTTGGGTGACAGAGTGAGATCCTATCTCTTAAAGAAAAAAAAAGCCCTTTTCTTAGTGATCATGGCAGGTGTCTTTACAATATACTCAACTTCTACACCATTGAACCCATTTCTTGTCCACTTTGGAAGAATAATGGGGACTCACCTCCCAAGATACAGTGGAGAGGCAGAAGGAGAGAAGGAGTATGCCTTGGCAACTTGTATTTTTAGAGCTCACAGTAGATGAGAGTGCATGATGCCATTTTGAAATGTATTCTCTTTCCTGAAATCCCACGAGAAGATAGTTTACATTAACTTGATCAACCTCTTATTGATCAACCAAACAGAAGCGGGGATGAAAAGATCTTTAAAAAACACAGGCTAGGTTTCCTCTCATCAGCAGTTTCAGTGGCGAGATTCTGAATCTTGTTTCTGAGCGTGTGTGGGCTTCTCCCACACATGGGTGGGTTACGGAGACCTGGGGTGGTGGCCTCCGGGCCCTGGGACAAGCAGTCTGGTTTAGGTGGAGTCTGTAGTGCTGTCAAGACAGGTCTCTTCCACACGAGAAAGCACTGCGGCCTCCCGGGAGGCCAGCCAGACAGCATTGCCAGGGTGGGCGAGGTGCGGGGGTGAGGGGGAGCCCAGGTGTGACCCCAGGAAGCCCTGTGTTTGCATCCTCCAAGACCCAGGTGTCTTGTTCCCTACCTCTCCCTCCTCGAAGGCTTACCTGCTTGCTGGGTGGCATGGCCTGGTGGGAGGGGTCGGCAGTGCTGGGGAGACCGCTCACCATCTTGGGGTTTGCCACCTTGCCCTCGGAAGGCTTGTTGTGATTGGATGATTTTCGGGGAAAGTTACTCTGTTTCCCAGAGGCCGCGTGTGCGTTCAGCAGAGGCAGCAGGGCGCTGCAGGGGGTCCTTGAGGAGTAGCTGTTCTTTGGATGTGTGACTGCAACAAGAAAAGGGGTGACGTCGTGGGTGACCCCCTGAGCACTGCTGCCCTCACCCCGTTAGGAAGCCAGAGAAGATGAATAAATTGGCAGGTGCACCGACAAAACATTAAGACAAGGTCACTTGAGAGGGTGCCTTGGGTGCTTAGGGACCCCACATTTCTCCTGTGGGAGTCACTGCACTGTGATCACAGCATTATCACGCAAGTTGGGAAACATATGAAGAAAACACGACATATCTGAGTAACTTCAATATTATTCTTGAGGTCAAGTAACCAAGGGAAGAGAGGCCATGAGACCCCGGGGTCCCTCTCCTGCCCAGTCTGCAAATGCACTCAGCGTCTTAGATCCCAAACCCATGCTGGCCGCCTTGATCAGATGCTGAAACCAGTGGATTCTGCAGAGACGCAGAAAGACTGGCGCTATGCACACACTCTGGCCCGTAAGAGCTGCGGTGTTCACGCTTGGACACGGAGCTATGTTGGGTGTTAAGAATTCTGTCACTCTGGGTCACGCATGTCCCTAACCCTCAGGAGGCTGAGGTGGAAGAACTACCAGGCCCGTTTACTCCTAAGGAATCTTGCATATTCCATGAAAGCTATGTTATCCAGCCTTTTATCAGTCCCATTTTCTTTCTTTCTTTTCTTTCTTTTTTTTTTTGAGTTGAGGTCTTGTTCTGTCACCCAGGCTGGAATGCAGTGGCACGTTCATAGCTCACCACAGTCTCAGTCTTCTGGGCTCAGGTAATCATCGCACCTCAGCCTCCCGAGCATGTGCCACAATGTCCAGCTAATTTTTTTTTTTTTGTAGGGACGAGGTCTTCTTATGCTGCCCAGGCTGGTCTTGAACTCCTGCAGCCCCATTTTCTATAGGCTAACCGCAGATGTGCACTACTTCCAATGTCATGGGCGAGGCAAGAGGACCAGCCAGACCCTGTCAGGGCTCGAAGTGCAGGCAGGTCTGTGTGGCGTCTCTTATGACTGCTCCCGCTGGTTTTGAAAGCCGTGGTTTCTGACAGAATGGTTTCTATGTAATTATGCTGGATTGGGCCAGAGGGAATCCATTCAAGGATAAAGCCATGACCTCCCTCTCACAGTTCGCCACAATTTGCCAGCAAGACCTTTATTTGAATCTTAAAATTGCCACCGATTTCTAAAAGCAATTTTCTCTGCTCCCTTTGTTGGATCAGGCCATCCCAGGATTCTGCTGGAGGATTAGGAAGGACCAGGAGGGATCCCAGCATATTAGAAATGGGAAGGACAGGGACATAGCTCCAAGCCCTTCATTTTATAGGGAAGGAGTGACAGTAAGTTGAGGGCCATTCTGACATGACCAGGGGATTTCTGTGGTTTGATTCAGTTTCAGGGTGTTGTCATTTCCTACGGCTCAGAGACCACTACATCTGTCTAGCAGCTGTGGGCCCTCAATTGCTCCTAGCAACACTGGGAAGGAAAGGGCCTCTGGAGGGCGACTATCTCCACACACGAGGCTGTTTTGCATAATGGACTCCTATGGTTTGGTCAGGGACAGTTTCTCCCACTAGATGACACCTGAAGTGCTTGGGAGGGAAGCAGGTGAAGTGGCACCATCCCACCCCACCCAGTGGGTACGGTCGCTGGGCATCACTGTCTTGTCATCGTCAGGCCGAAGTGGAAACTAGGATGGGCCATTACATTTCCAGCTGTTTGTTTTCTTAGACATGGGTTGCACATTGGCGACAGAGAATGGCAAACAGGGAGGTTCTTTCATAAGGGATGGAACATGCATGGCAAAACCACAAATAATTGAGAAGGAGTACAGTCAGAAAACCAAATAATTGCCAGACATGCGTGAACAAGGATGTTCACAGCGGTGTTATTTTAATGATGAAAAACTGGAAGCACCCTTCAGGCCATGATAAAAGAACTGGTTACATCAATTATATGTTAAGTACATTTTCAGTTACATATATTGACATGGGGGCCGAGCACAGTGGTTTATGCTTGTAATCCCAGAACTTTGGGAGGCTGAAGAGGGAAGATCATTGTGGTCAGGAGTTTAAGACAAGCCTGACAACATAGCAAGAACTCATCTCTACAAAAGTGATTTTTAAAAAATTAGCCAGGTGTGGTAGTGTGTGCCTATAGTCCCAGCTACTCAGGAGGCTGAGTGGGAGGATCACTTGAGCCCAAGAGTTTGAAGCTACAGTGAGCTATGATCGTGCCACTGCACTCCAGCCTAGGCGACAGAGCAAGACCCCATCTCTTAACATATTCATATATTTATATACATAAAGCAAAAAGTAATGCACCTTTATATGCATAGATGTATACAATATTATATCTTATATACATACATATACATATATGTGTATATTATATATTTAGAGAGAGAGACAGAGACAGAGAGACATGTAAGATGTCTACCATAGATGGCGATGTGAGAAAAGCAAGCTTATTACTACATATGTGTGTAACATAGTCTAGAGAATTAATGATCCTAGGAAGGGCACATCTTTGTTTTCCAGCTGACTCCGAGGCTGCGGAGTGTCTGCACCACTCACTAGTCCTTCGATTTGCCCACACCTCCTTCAAGCCCCTCAGTGCCTTCCACTTCCTCTGGGGTGGGCTGGTGGAAGGGCCAAGCGGCAGCCTTCGCAGGGCACGTGGGCTGCTCTAAAGAAGGCTGAACAGGTAGGATGAAAGCTCATGGCTGAGCGAGTCTCATTATCCGCAGGCCTCGCTGCGCACTGCGAGTCATGGTGGCTCGGGATACTGGGCACGGGCATCTCGGTGGCCGGGCCCCTCACAATAGCTTATGGTGCCCAGACGTATCAGGAAGACTCACCCTCAGCCTAACGGGTTTCTGCCCCACCAGGGCTGTTTGAAATCAGAGAAGTCTTTTATCTGGCGGCGCTTAAGGAAATTTGCAGAAGGTAAACACGCGTTGACCTGTTCCGTTCTGCTTAATAAATCCTGGGGATTTACGGATGGGTAGTGGCATTTGAAGACTCGAAGTTCAAGTCTTGACATTTCTAGTGACTTGTGTCACGAGCTTAGATCATTAAATCTCCTTAGACCTCACTTCAGCCCCCCGGGGGGCTGCACACCTGACATTTCCGATACCGAACAGCAGCCAGGGGGCTCACACGGAATTATTTAGCACGCATGCAAAACTCACTTTCTCCGCAGACCATGATCTGGGCCTTCAGCGGCTCGATGTCACAGGAGAACCGGGCAGCCTTCCCCAGCTCTTCGTCGTATTTGCGCTCGCTCACGAAGTGCTGGAGGGAAGAGAGAAGGAGAGCAGGAGCCTCGATTCCTGAAACGGCCCAGGACCCCAGGCCCTTCACTCCGCTCCTCAGGTGGCCCCTGGGGGGTGGCGGCCCGTGGGCATCGCTCCAGCCCCAGTTCCCCTGAAGTCAGTCTTGGGCAGGACCACCTTCCTGTTCCGGGAGTATGTGAGGGTCCCGTCTTTCTCCTGCCTTGGCCTACACAAAATATGTCGGGCTCATCTAGTCGACCTTTGAGCACTTTCTACTGCCTTCTGGCAGTTTTCTGGGTTGCATTCTGGCAGGGTCTTTCTTCTTTGGTCAAATGCCTGGTAAGGTATCGACCACCAAGAAAAAACATGCCATCCTTCCTAGACATGCATCCTATCTTAATGGGGAACCAGGAAGTCCAAAAAGCCTTTCGTGTCTAGAAAATATTATCTCCAGTGGCAGAATTTCAAGTGCTGTGAAAGGCAGCGAGAGATTCTTTTTCAATTTATTTGATATTAAGATGTATGTGTAGAAGGCAGAGTAAGAAACTCAGAAACAATGATGACTCAGTCCCTCCCTGACTTTACCAGGGAGTTTAGCACATGGCAAGGAGAACAGACACCATGAACGAGACAAGATGAGGTAGAATGGCTGGGCCTTTATTAGTATGAAGAGGAAGAATGATTTCCTCCTGGAGGGAGTGGGGGAAGAGTTATATAAGAGGGAGCATTAGAGAAATTATCGAACACTTACCAGACACTGACCAAATTCTTTTTTTTTTTTTTTCAGATTGGAAAATAAAGTTTATTTAGAAAGTAAATGAGAGAGAGAGAGATGGAGGGAGGAGAGAGAGAGGGAGGAGATTCACCTCCCCAAGGTAAGGAAGGCAGCCAAAGCTGATATTGACCAAATTCTTAACCGAACTCGTGTTTGTCTGATCACATTATCATGAAGCAGTACCATTATTATCTCTACTTTATAGATTGAGATTCTAAGAATCTGAGAGAAAACATAATTTATCCAAGGTCACCAGGGAAGAAGATTTTGCAGCTGGGTGGTTGCATTCCAAAGCTTATGCTGCTAACCATTCTACGAAGAGTGGGATTTTGATAGGTAGAAATGAAACGTGTAAGATGAGATAACTTCAATAGGCTGGGAAGCTGGCAGTTTTATATTTCTCACTCGGATGCTTGAACAAGCTCGGATTTTTGTAGAGGGAGATGGAAGTTGGAATAGATATTGGAGTCTAGTTGTGGATTTTTTTTTTTCCAGAGGGGAAGGAGAAATCATATTGGGGGAGACCAGATCTACCTTAGGGATATAGCTCTGGTTTCAGTGGAAGACAAAGCCAGAGAGAGATGGTGGAGGCAGAAAGACTAGTTAGGAGGCCACTGTGATTGATATTAACCACCAAGAAAAGACATGCCATCCTTCCTAGACACCCATCTTTATTTTTCAAAATATTTATTAATCTGGGTCTCACTCTGTCGTCCAGCAGGAGTTCAGTGACACAATCATGGCTCACTGCAACTTTGAACTCCTGGGCTCAGGTGATCCTTCTGCCTCAGCCTCCTGAGTAGCTGGGACTAAGTTTTTGATTTCTTTCTGTAGAGATGACGTCTCACTATGTTGCCCAGTCTGGTCTTAACTCCTGGGCTCAAGCGATGCTCCCACTTTGGCCTCCCAAAATGCTGGGATTAAAGGCATTACTCACCACATCCAGCCTCCCATTCTTATTTGAATAGGGATCCAGAAAATCCAAAAAGCCTTTTATATCTACAAAATATGATCTTGAATGGCAGAATTCAAGGGGGCAACACAGGCCAGAACGGAGAAGGCAAGGGGGGTCCTCTGGCGCTCTCAGCACTATCAGGGAGGGCCTCTTCTCCATGGGGCTACCTTTTGCCACTAACCGAGAGGGAGGGAGCCAAAGGTACTTTATCATTTTCTGCTACCACCAACCAGTCTGCTGCTCTGACAAACAGATATATCCTACATCTGCAAGCAGCTGAGGCTTACAACACTCTCGTTTCTTAGATGTGGGTAAGAGATTGGAGGGTGTGTGTGTGTGTGTGTGTGTTTAGTATACTGAGTGGAAATGAGAGGAGTAAGGGGAATTTGTAAGCTGCATCTTCCTATTTTGTGTAAATACTTGTTCTTGCCTTCCTAGTAACCATTTCCCTTTCTGGGAACTGTACCCCGATGCAATTTTGAAGAGACACAGTCTTGGTGGATCTGTCAATCAAGACGCCATGCTCTCTCTGGGTCAAATGATGAATGTGACCCAAATGGAGGCCAATGACAGTCTCTCTCTGAAGCAAGTGGGTGGCACAAGGGCTGAAGATGTCTGGAGGTCACTCATCCGATGGTACCCTGAGGGCGTGTCTGCTAATCATTGCTTCCTGCATTGTTGGAGCCTCGCTGCTTTCTGCCTAACTCTAGACCTGAGTCCTCTGATCACACTCTGCGTTGGTGAGCTACACTCACATTCTTTCAAATTCAACTTGTTCCTGAGGCTACCCGGGGCCCATCTGTTGCTTGCAACCGAAAAGATCTAAGAAATCCTGTTCGTGGGTGGTGTTCTTAATAAAAAGGCAACGAAGCTAGAGGAGCTGGGAGGGAGGTCTCCCCAGACTGTGTGCATTACAGCCCTACTGCTGCCCTCAGGTCATACTCAGTGTATGTTTATTTATCTGTGCATGTGTTTATATGCATACATACACTAGGGGGATCCCCTAAAAAAACAGAATTATCTTTTGGAAGGTGGGGTACTAGCTTCCCCGCTAGGTAAGTGCTCTAGGAATCCATCGCCATCCATGTATCAGCTAGCATTGTGGTGAGAAGCTGCGAGCAGCTTCAGTGAATTTTTTTTTTTTTTTGAGATTCTTTCAACACGTTTGCCCATTTCACGATGGGTGATTTACGAGCACATCTGCCTACACCACGCTGAGTGTTCAGCAGTTTTTGACCCAAACTGCACGACCCCTATGCCCTACCCTCCCTAGTCACCTGATCTCTCCCAGAATGGTTTTTTTGTTTCTCCTGGATGAAAAAAGTCCTCGGAGGGAAATATTTTGCCAATGTGGAAGAGGTGAAACAAAAAACAGTAGAAGCACTAAAAGGCATCAAAATTGACGAGTTCAAAAACTGTTTTGAGCAGTGGAAAAGGCGTCTCGATAGGTGTATTGCATCAAATGGAGAGTACTGAGAATGTGACTGAAGTTTAAACATGCAAGAATAAATACACAATTTTTTATAAATAAATTTGTGGGTTTTCTTGGGTTCCCCTTCGTTCATTACACAGTGTGAAAATAACATCCGCAATTCTGGCTGTCACTCATGGTTCAGTACACACTTTATTTGGGTCAGTCTCTACTAAGAAAGTAGCTTGTGCCTGTCCTTGCCATCAACTGTCCCTTCAAGCCCTGTTATGCCTCAACACAGTGATTGGGTGGTCCTTGGTGTGTTCTCTCTTCACCCCTGTGGAAGAAAGCTGGGTGCAAGCTGTCAGGTTCTCACACTGCAGGCTCTGAGGGTACAAAATAGACATCCTGGGACATAGCTCTCTGGCTCAGGGCCAGGCTGTGATACTTCAGAACCTACCTTAATTTCTGCCCTGAGCTCGGCCAGCTGCGACTCTGCCATTTGACTGGCCAGATCAGTCAGTCTCTTCAGTTCTTCTGCTTTCTTCTGGCGAGCGGTCAGGATTTCCACTGCCAAATCAGAAGGAACAACACATTAGGGCCGGAGATGGAAACATATTAAATGACCTAATTTCTTGGAAGCAGTTCCCGCTCCACAGACTGAGTGCTTTGTTGGGCCATGATGATGCTTTCTGGGCTGCTTACCAGGGCGGGTCCACCCCAGTGCCTGTTTCCAACAGCCCATTTCCTTATGTCCTTATCCACGAGCCCCCCAGCTACGCATGGTCCCTTCTGAGTCACTGTACACCCACACTCTTCCTTTTCTCCGCTGGTGTCTGAGCTCGCTTACTTAATTTAGGCTTTTTACATTTGTGAGTTACTCAGAATGACTATCTCCGAAAAAAGACACTTGTTAAAGTCCTAGCTGAATGATATTATAAGGACAGGAAGCCCATGAAGCCAAGCCGTTCCACACATGCTGAGCTCTAGAAACCCTAACGGCATCGGCTTTCTGAACTTTGGCACGTACTCACTTAGGGTGACTAGTTGTGCTCTTGGAATAGGACATTAAAGTTGAACTTCCTTAGTTTTTTTGGGAGCTGATAAATGTGTCTGCTTTTGATGCTCTGCAGATATGTTTCTATTTTACAAAGAAAGAAAAGTTCCAGACCAGAACGTCTTAGGTCTTGGTTATAAATGTCCCCAGTGGAAACATTTCAAGAGGAAGTCAAGCCAGTGTGAACAGGATTTGTGTGAATCAAGCATTTGCACGGAAGTTCTCTGCCTCCATGGTTTCACACCTGTCAGATAACGGAAGGCTCAGAAGATAAAGTGGTCCACGGGTTCATCTGTGTCCGTGTATGTCTATGTGTCTGTATGTGTTTCCCTAAAGATTATGATGTCACAAACACATAGTGTGAGATTCGAATATGAAGCTTGGTCTTTCACCCCTTTTTTTTAGTTTGGGGGGTCTTACTCTGTCATTCAGGCTGGAGGACAGTGGCACGTGCGCTCATGGGTCACTTCAGCCTCGATCTTCTGGGCTCAGGTGATCCTCCCACCTCAGCCTCCAGAGTAGCTGGGACTACAGGTGGGTACCACCAGACCTGGCTAATTGGAAGCTTGGTCTTTCAATAGGTAGACATGGAGCTCTCTTGATAAGGGCGTATGTGAACTGCCTTCATTTCTTTTGGACAAGCACTCTGAGTTATAACATGAGGAGACCACCTAAGATGACACGCATGTCAAACTCACACCCTAGTCTTGGCTGAACAGAGATCAACTGCTTGATTAGACCAGATTCACAGCACACTTGCAGGACCAAACAATAAGATTTCTGATTTTAAAAGTTCTTAATATGCCAAATGTCAAAAAACAGTCACCTCAAAACTCCAAAAAGAAGTACTAACTCAATCAAGAGTTAAGATCCCCTGTAAACCATAAACCATTCTTAGGGCAGACTGAGAGACATTATCTTTTTATGCTGATATCAATGTTGAGATGTCAATAAAATAATAAACCTACAACTCATAAGGTCCAATCATCTGCTCAAGGGTGCTAGTCATGCTTTGGTTATTTATCTGGGGCTCCCCTTGCCCCCCATTTATACCACCATGTAGCTGGGCAGACTGATCTGTACCTAATGATCTTTCAGAATACAGAGAAGCTGGTGAAAACCTGTTCCAGATGGTGGGACTGAAAGGAATTTCCACGTGACAGCAGGTAATGTATTTATTGCTGAGTTATGTCTCAGGACACCCAGTTGGACCAGAAGATGTTTACGCATTAATGCTCACATTTAAAAGTTAGAAGATTCCATTTGAAAGCCGGATCTCTGACATGTCTTAAAATACTGGAATTTCTGGCCACAGCTGGCCAGCATTCCTATGTGGCAACAGCTGGTTGAAGATAAGAAGCTACTGTATTTTTTGATGGAGCGTGATACCTTGTGTGCTACAATCTCCCTTGGTCCCTGTAACTCCTTAGTTACTAGTGGGACCACAGGGCAAACTGCACCATGTTGTTGACTCTCCTTCTCTCTTCTTTCCCTTTTCTGTCTCCTCTCTTTTCTCTCTGTTTCCTCTCTCCTCTCTCCCCTTTCTCTGTCTCCTCTCTCCTCTTTCCTCTATCCTATTTTTTCCTCTCTCTCTCAATACTCTCTAAGACCCATATCTTTGATTGGCTATTTCCCACTATAACGCAACACATGGATGGGACTAAAGTCTACAGCATAAGAATATGCTTCAAGTAGGAATATGAAATGAGATATTTTCCGAAGTAAAATAAAAAATAAGTTCTGATGCCCAGACTTGACAAGCAGTTAGCAGAGGGGTCAGCAGACCTGAGTGACTGCACTGTGACACAGATCTGACTTTCCTACTGAATCATTTGTGGCATTGGTGACAATTAGGGGTCATTGCTCTTTTTGATTAAGAACTTGGGCATTCATACCAAACAAAGGACTTTGTAGAAATAGACATAAATGAACCCTAAAATAGGAACGCAGGTGCAAGATCACCCAAGTTCTGCATTTATACTTATGCAAATGAATACTTTGCATCAGCAAGTGCTGGTGTGTGGTTTCCATATAGTTTCATTAACATTTCAAAGGCTTTCCTGAGGAAAAATGCCTTAAAAAAACGAGATCTCGAGTCAATATTTTTTTGGAGGGGAAGCAACATTTTCACCTTAAAAACATCAATCACAAAAACAGAAAACAAAAACCCATCAGATCTTAAGATTCATTGATCCTGTAATTTAAAACAGAATACGTATGTTCTGTTTTAAATATACCATCCTTTCACAAATCTGTAGTGGGAAACAGTTCCACACAGCTTAGGTTTCTACTGCATTCAAGAATTAATCAATAGTGTGTATGTATATTTATAAACAGTATCTGGCATGCTGAAATCCATTTTCTCAATAGGATTTATACATTCTTGCAAGTTTTGAGAACATGCTGGAAGCTTGCTCATATTACTTGAACCATGGAAAATCTTAAGGTTTCTCAAACAACACTCTGCAAAACGTGCTAGTGCTCTCAAAACCTGGGTGTGGGGTTGGGGCAGTAGGCGGAGCAGAGGTGGCTCTTTAAGTACAAAGATTCTTTGAAAGCCTTCTTAATCAATCCTGAAAAATTCTCATGAATTTTGCATTCTACTTCATAATATATCTGTGTTCCTATTGGTACACAGTCATGTCTCCCCCCCCCCCATATCTCTAGTAAACGTGACTCTGAGAACATTCCTATCTAGGTCTTTGTGTCCCTGGGTACACGTGTGATGTCTGAGATCCAACACTACATCACACCTAGCTTCTTCATCTGTAGAATCTGTATAATGTAATAATCGAACATCCCTTGGAAGGTTATTGTGGATCTGAATGGAATAATGTATCTGAGATGTTAGTATACTAAAAATGTGCACTGTAAATAGTATAAACAAAGTGAGGTCTATTCATCGAGAATATATTTCCTCTTTTTCACAATTACAATAGTATTCACTAATATTGGATGCCTCAGTCTACAGACAATGAATTGATTATAGAAACTCGTTGAATAAACATTTATGAAGTACCCCCAGTTTTCTCAGCATAGTGTTAGGGGCCATGAGAAATTTAGGAGCTTATGCTATGGTGAAGGACACAAGGTTTCTATCATCTACAGGAAATGGAAAGTGTGAAAAATACTCCTGAGACCACAGAGAAGCAAGTTCAAAAGGGCGGTCAAAAGACAGTTCTGAAGTTAGTGGGAGAAATTCCATGGTTCCCTCTCTATGGAGAAGACATCATGGTTTTTTTGTTTGTTTGTTTCTCGTTTTTTTTTTTTTTTTGAGTTGGGGTATCACACTATTGCCCAGACTGGAGTGCAGTGGCACTATCACTGCAGCCTTGATTTCCTGAGCTCAGGTGATCCTTCTGCCTCACCCTCCCAAGTAGGTGGAACTACAGGTGTGCACCACCACACCCAGCTAATTTTTAAATTTTTTTGCAGAGACGAGATCTCACTCTGTTGCCTGGGCTAGTCTTGAATTCCTGGGCTCAAGCAATTCTCTGGTCTTGGCCTCCCAAAGTGCTGAGATTATAGGCATGAACCACCACATCTGGCCCAAGACGTATTAACACAGGCTGGTCAATTGAGAGATGCAGCATAGGCCCTGGGCTCCATTTTCTGACTTTAATATAAGGAGGCTAGACTCACCTGCTTACTAATAAGGGCTTTTCCCTTTTGCACTGTGCTAAGTGTCTGACTGTTATTTTCTCATTTAATCTTTGCAATAACTATTTGAGATAGAGTCCAGTCTTATTTTCCCTTTTATTTCCTTTTTCTTTTTTAAGTCAGGGCCTCGCTCTGTCACTCAGGCTGGAATGCGGTGGCACAATCATGGCTACCGTAGCCTCAACCTCCGGGGCACAGGCGATTCTCCTACTTCAGCCTCCAGAGTAGCTGGGACTACAGGCGCATACCTGGCTAATTTTTATGATTAGCCATGCCTGGCTAATTTTTATGATTTTTTTTCTGTAGAGACGAGGTCTCGCTGTGTTGCCCAGGCTGGTCTTGCACTCTTGGACTCCAGTGATCCTCCCTTCTCAGCCTCCCAAAGTACTGGGATTACAAGTGTGAGTCACTGAGCCCAGCCAGTTCCCCCTTTTCTGATAAGGAACCTCTGACTTTGAATAGTCAACAACCCAGTTGAAGGTCACACTGGCAGGCAGGGTTGGAGGTGGAACTTGGTTTTGGACTCAGTTCTGGCACATCCAAGGCATGCAAATTGGCCTCCCAGGGCAGTCTAAAACCAGGACCTGCAGTGCCAATCATGGAAGTTAGGGGAATCTGGTTGACCCTGAGCAGTTTTAGCTGGCCTGAGAGCCCTGAGAGCACAGCTTCATATTTATGTGTTTGCTGCATGCTGTTCTTCCTGGCCTCTAGCAGTGCTAAGGACATCTGGGAGCCCACAGTAAGTGTTCACTGACTGAATTTTAAAAACTAAGGGTGCTCTCCAGAGATGCTCCAAATGCCACATGTCTTGGCACCAAACACACCCGTGTCTCAAGAAGGAGGAAGGAGTTCGCGAAACCTGAGGTCTTTTGCAAACCTCTGAGAAAGTGACATGCTAGTGACCTTCTATCTTGGTTCAAGAGAGAACCATTTGCATCTGTGTTGGTTGTGACTTTTTTTTTTTAAAGTCAGGTTCTCACTCTGTCACCCAGACTGGAGGGGAGTGGCATGATCACAGCTCACTGCAGCCTCAACCTCCTGGGCTCAAGTGATCCTCTTGCCTCAGCTTCCCAAGAAGCTTCCCAAGAAGCTGGCATTCCACCACACCTGGCTAAGATTGTTAGCATTTTTATCATTAGGACACAAAACTGAAATAAGCCATACCCAAGGAACAAGGAAAATCCCAAGTCATGCGTCTAATCCACGCTCACTGACAATATCTACAGATTTCGTAATAATAATTTCACAACCAAAGAGATTGTGTAACTACCTAAAGAGTCTGCAGCTTTGCCCTGGATCACATTAGTTTTACTTAATACTGCTTGCTGTATTTTAGGACTCTAAAATGCTGTTTAAAATTATTTAGAAAATTGTGTAACAACAATAATGAGAGCCATCTTCCATAAGATGACCACCAGAATGACGGCCTAGGTCCAGACAAGAAAAATGAAAAATAATGAAGCATCTGGACTGATCTTTCTTCTGGCAAAAATGAAGACCTCACATTCAAAGGCAGAGAGATTCAGCTGAAACTTGATTGGGGACGCACACATCCATGTATCTAATCCATGAGATAAAATCTGGGTAAGGATGAAGAATCTCGGATGCAGCAGAGACAAGGATCGTAAAACTAAACTCAAGTTGAAAAATATGGTCCTAGGGGCCCCATTAACAGAGCAGACTGAATTCAATAATAAGAGCAGTGTCAGCAATTCACTTATGGCTTGATATTGAATCTGACTGAGTTAATCTTGTCCCCATTTAAATTTCCAATGCACAAACCCTGGCCTATTTGAGATGGTCAATCTGCTTGACTGCTCGAGTAACTTTACCACAGCGGGAAGGTTTAGAACTGAGCATACAGAAAATAAAATAAACCCGGAATGTTAATATTTTATGTTACATTTAGGACAAGTTTTGCAATGATCTAGATAATTTGAGTGTGCTCATTATTTAAAGAGAGAATTTGATATCTTGTGATTTCAGTTTTAAACATGGAATTGATTCTCTTTTGTGGTTTTAACTTGGCAGGTGTCAGCATATTTGATGAAGTTTGTGAACAGAATTGGAATATTTTAAGAAAAACTTTGTTTAGTATATCTCTAAGTTTGAATTATTAATCTTATAACAATTGCTTAGAAGCTTAGAAATGCTTTGCTTGTTAGGTTTGTGAATTTGCCTTGCCAGACATCTGAAATGCTTAAGAAAAATCAGGTATATTAAATTTTTTTTTTGAGTTGGAGTGTCACTCTATCACCCAGGCTGAAGTGCAAGTGGCACGATTACAGCTACTGCAGCCTCGACCTGCTGAACTCAAATGATCCTTCTGCCTCAGCCTCCCAAGTAGCTGAGACTACAAGGGTGCACCTAGCTAATTTTTTAGTTTTTAGTAGAGATGAGGTCTTGCTATGTTGCCCAGGCTGGTCTCGAATTCCTAGGCTCAAGCAATCCTCTGGCCTCCCAAAGTGCTGGGATTATAGGCATGAGTCACTGCACCTGGTCAGTATATTAAATTTGTATGTGTAACTTAAAATGTTGAGGAAAATTGAAGTAATTAAGTTTCAAAAGGGACTACTCGTTAAGGAAAATTTAATATGATAAACTTGCTAATAGAATCCAAAAAAGAACAAGTAAAAATGACTATATAAATAATATAGCAAGATTTATAAGTTACAAAGATTTAAAAACTGTCTTAAAATTTAACACTAAATTCAATGTCATTTAAAACCCAATTAACTGTGTTATGAGCACAAAAGTTCCCCTGGGACTTCAGAAAACTCAACTGACATCTTTTATATACCAAGTGCCCGTTCTGCCAGGCACTCGACTCTACAAGATGGGTGCTACAACTCTGTCCTTTTGCCAAAAGATGTAACTGAGGTTCCCAGGGGCTAAGTGACCCTAAGGTGACAGAGCTCATGAGCCAGGATTTCAGGGTGGAGGTCAGGACTCCGCTCAGAATCCAGTATCACTGTCCGAGTGACCTGTGGGTTGCTTCTGGCCAGGAAGCTCCTCTTCAAATAACCACACGTCTACTTACTGGCTTCTTCTTTAACTTTGTCCATTTCTGCCATTAATGAAACTTCTTTGTCAATGATGCTGGGGAAACAAAAACAAAAGCAAAGAAGACTTAATAAAAGAGAAACTTTCAACAACCACTGGAAGTAAAGGAAAGATTATTTTCATGAAACAAGATATGGAATTACCATAAATATTTCTATACTAGCGTGCCAGCAGCACACCCCACCACTCCAAAAATGAGGTAACGTAGAGGGGATGTTCCCAGGATTACACAGTGACATCTGCTAATTAAACCATTGTCAATATTTTTTTAAAAAGTGCTTTCAGATTTTCTGAATTGTGCTTTCAATTGAAACTTGGGAGTATTTTTGTCTTATGCATTCCGAAATTCCAAAACAATATAGTAAGTATTTGAAAAACTGGCACTTAGGTCATGAAGGTCTGTAGTTTCCAAACATCCCTGTGTCCCACCCTGGGAAGAGTCTGTCTCACTTCTTATGCAGATGGTCCTGGAGCCATACTTGAAGAAATATGGTCTGGGTGAACTCATCCACCCACGTGCTCCACAATATGACTCTATGCCTTTCTCATTCTCCCAAATAAGCACGTCAAGGTTTTTTTTGAGTTGGAGTCTCACTCTGTCACCCGGGCTGGAATGCAGTGGCACACTCATGGCTCACTGCAGCCTAGATCTCCTGGGCTTGGGCAATCCTTCTGCCTCAGCTTCCTGAGTAGCTGGGACTACAGTCACATGCCACCATGCCTGGCTAATTTTTTTTTATTTTTTGTAAAGCCAAGGTCTCACTATGTTGCCCAGACCAGTCTCAAACTCTTGGGCTCAAGCAATTCTCCCACTCCACCCCCCAAAATGCTGGGATTACAGGTGTGAGCCACCGTGCCCAGCCCATATGGGCTTTTTTGTGATCATAATCATAGCATAGTATTTACTATCATACCTACAAACGTTACCAATAATTTAATGTAATTAGGTACTACTCAGTACTTGAATGTCCCCAACTGTCCCATAAACCTTTTTGTATCAGTCTGTTTAAACAAGGATCTGAATAAGGCCTGATGATTGCAATTAGTTGATGCCTCTTACATCTGGCTTTGTTTTTTGGGTTTTTTTTTTTTTAAGTTAAGGTCTGTTGCCCAAGTTAGAGTGCAGTGGCACACCATGGCTCACTGCAGTCTCGACCTCCTGGGCTCAGGCAATCCTCCAACTTCAGCCTCCTGAGGCTGTGCTAGCACGCCTGGCTAAGTTTTTGATTTTTTTGTAGAGACGGGGTCTCTCTATGTTGCCCAGGCTGGTCTCAAACTCCTGGGCTCAAGCAGTCCTTCCACCTTAGCCTCCCAAAGTTCTGGGATTACAAGTGTGAGCCACCGAGCCTGGCCTTAAATCTGTTTCAATCCTTAAGTTTATTCTCATCAGTCTTCTCATCCTCTTTGCAAATTATTTATTGAAGGAATCAGGCTGTTGACCCTGGACAGCTGCCCGAGGTCAGAGCTTTGCTAACTGCATCATCACAGTGTTAATCTGTTCTTGCACCTTTCTTATGCATTTTTTATTAGATATAGAAATGTGATGAAACTCAGATTTTTTTTTTAAGGAGTACTTTATGTTGTATACTTCCACCAGCACACACATAATGACACAATACACTTATAAAGTATTCTTCCTGAAAAAAAACCTGAATATAATCACATTTCTACATCTAATAGCAAATTTACAGGAAATAAAAAAGACATCTCTTTTTGAAATGATCTTGGCAGCCATTGAGGATCATTGCCTGGATTTATAGGGTTTGCAAAGTTGAGATATCCAAATTCTATTACTACTTCATTTATACCTACTAGAATTCTTTTATAAATTGGGAACTTTCCTTTATCAATGACTCAGTTATCATGAAGTGCAGTTTGTATAGGTAAGGCAGGATAAATAATCGATTTCTGTCTTTTATTTGTATCCTTCAAAGGTCGGCAATGAGAGTGTTTTTGCTTGTTTTTATGGTTTAATTATGAACTCATGTTCAATGTGGTCCCATGCACTGCCATTAGCATCCTTATTGCTACTCAGTTGTTCCACCAGATGGACTGTCTTTCTCCATCAGATGTACTTTTAAAACTTAAAGTGTGTTGAAGAGTTATTTACTCTTGAGAATTGTGCAATATTTGCCCAGGTAAGAAGTGTTTTTGGGGGTCTGTCTACAGCAGTCTGGGGGCTCCTCGACAAGACAATGTCACCTAAACACCAGAAGAGTAAGGACTGTGTGCTCAAGAGGAGATTCCAGGGGAAAGAACTGACACGTGAGCGGCAGATTCTCTAGAGCTGGCCTCTGAGCCTCGTCCATCAACAGAGACCCCCATGAAGTACATGGCTGAGAGGCACGGGATGGTTCACTGTGGTGTAACCAACCACTGTATCAGGACATTTGTATCTTATTCACTGACATTACATAGGTATAATGGCAATGTGTTTTAGCTTTCGAGATCCAGGTGCATTCACCTGGCTGAAGACAATGTGTTTTAAACATAGGAAAAGCATGCTACAGAAAGGTCTTCAGTGAGAAGGAAGTCTTCAGTGAGAAGGCACAGGCAAAAATAAATTAGGACTCCTGTTCCAGTCAAACAGAAGCCTTTGAAACAGAGTCTCCAGGATTTGAGAACACACATGGCACACAACCAAGGAAAATACATGCACGTGATATGAGACTGGCATGTCCTCAAATGTCCATTGAGTGAGAGAGGTGCAGCTGGCAGACAAGGCAGAGGCACTGGAGGCTGGGAGTCCTGTGGCCTGTGTGTGGGGTTTGGAAAGGGGGCCTTTGCTAATTACTTTATCAGCTACAAGGCCATTGCAGTGGCACGATAACGGCTCACTTCAGCTTCGACTTCCTGAGCTCAGGTGATCCTCCCACCTCAGCCTCCTAATAACCGGGACAACAGGCATGTGCCACCACACCAGGCTAATTAAAAAAAAAAAAAAATTGTAGAGAAGTCTTATTATGTTGCCTAGGTTAGTTTTGAACTCCTAGGCTTAAGTCACCCTCCTGCCTCGGCCTCCCAAAGTGGGAGAAGAGAATCATTTGAGACATAAATTTATAGATAAAAGTGCAAGGACACTCATCAAACACACAGGGCTTAACTCAGAATCAAAAATGGCCTCCCATTTTTGTTCATCAAAATTGTTAACCTAATCTTTTGTCCAGCGAGTTTACATGATGGGCATTTGGGGTATGAGACATGTCTCCCAGTCTAACACATATTAAACAAGGCTGGGTATTTATGCAGCGGTTAGCTCAGGCCTTCTGAGCCAGAAACAGGAGGGCTGAAGGTTTACACAATAAATTGTTAATCTGCTTAATGCACATACTTGAGGATGTGAAAAAGCCTGTGGTGTTGGCATCAAACCATGCTTCTGTTCCTCTGGGTATTTCAGCAAAGGAAGGCCATCCCCAAGCTTCTGAGTGAGCCCAGCCCTGCTCTCGGAGCTTGACTGCAAAATGCCTGGGTGTGAAGGAAAGATAGACATCTCTGCCAAGTGAGGACCCTGTGCTGAGCGCACAGATGTATGCAAACCAATGTCAGGGCCAGCTTGGGGCAAGTACACCAGACCTGCCCTCCAGAATCTCAACATGGTAGGCCTGAGGGTTCCTTGGGTTTTGCTTTCAAGGTAGCAAGCTTGTCAAGGGAAGAGGAACCATGGGAAGTGGTTGTGGGCATAAAGCAGTGCAGGCCAGCTGTCCCTCGGCGGCGATCAGACAGCAAGGGGCCACCTCACAGCGAGAGCCAGGTCCAAGGCAGGGGCAGAGATGAAAGCCATGCCTAAAACCTTCCAAATGTCTGCAGGCCCAGTGTCACTGGGTGTATCGCAGCCAACTTCGTGAGTCATTTTGTCAGGGCCATTTGCAAGTCCTATTGAATTTTCTTAGAGGATCAGGGCAGAGACACACACTGGAGAGAGGCTTGATGACAGAGAGCTTAGCAGGCTGGGTAGAGACAGAGGGGGCTTGGAAGGACCCTGGCGAGGAGCTATTGTATGTGGAGAGAGGAGAGAGTTCCTTGAGAGGAGTGACATCAGAGAGCTGATGTGTCACAGAAGAGTCACAGACAGTGTCACAGACTGCGTTCCTGCTGGGGAAGCAGGAGGGTCACATGCTTGCTTTTGAGGTATACCTGTGTGGACACATATCAGTTGCCTCAGAATGAGAGGGGACCCTAACTCATACTTCCTGCTTGCTGACTGTGGGCTGGGCATGTTAGCTAGAGCGCCAGTGCCATCCTGACACCCCAGGAGGTCGAGCCCTGCTCTCTCTACCATGGGGCTTTGTGTGGGCTGTGTGCCAACTCTCCTCCTCCACCCTGCCTCTCTTCATCTAATTAGCACCAAGTGTTCCTTCAGGTCTTCATGTAGTTATCACTTACTCTGGCTGAGTTTTAAACAACTTGTGTTCAGCTCCATGATCTTAGACTATGGTGAGGGCGAGGGAAGCAACAGATCCACTTTTCCCAGCAGACCCACGAGAAAACTTCTTCCCACTAGTACAAGGTGGTGGGGCTTGCAGAGCAACTGTGTTTATGCAAAAATCTATAGAATTTTGGTCAGCGACAGAATTGAAACATTTGAGATATAAATTTATGGAAAAAGTGCAATGGCACTCATCAAACACACAGGATTTAACTCATTCTCAAAACTGGTGGTTTGCCGGGCTCGGTGGCTCAGCCTGTAATCCTGCGCCTTTGGGAGGCTGAGGTGAGTGGATTGCCTGAGCCCGTGAGTTCGAGACCCACCTGGGCAGCGAGACCTCATCTCTACAATAAATCAAAAAATCAGCCGGGCGTGGTAGCGCATGCCTGTATTTCCCGCTACTCGAAGGCTGAGGCGGAAGGATCGCCGGAGCCCAGCAGGCGAGGCTGTGGTGGCCGGGAGCGGCCACTGCACTCCAGTCCGGGCGATAGAGTGAGACTCCAACTCAAAAAAACCCCCCCAAAAAAACCAAAAAAAAAAACTGGTGGTTTGCACATTGAGGCGGTTTAATTTCTTTCTTTCTTTTTTTTTTTGAGTTGGAGTCTCACTG